CTATGCAAAAGCATTCAATTGTGTGGATCATAACGAATTATGGATATAACAATAAGAAGAATGGGAATTCCAGAACACTTGATTGTACTCATGAGGAACTTGTACACAGACCAGGAGGCTGTCATTCAAACAGAATAAGGCAATACTGCAGAGTTTAAAATCAGGAAAGGAGTGTGTCAGGGTTGTACTCTTCCACCATACTTATTCAGTCTGTATGCTGAATAAATAATCTGAGAAGCTGGACTATATGAAGAAGAGTGGGGCATTAGGATTGGAGGAAGACTCATTAACAACTTACACACAGAAGACACAATTATGCTTGCTGAAGGTGAGGATGACTTGAAGCACTTACTGATGAAGACTGAAGACTACTACAGTCCTCAGTATGGATCACATCTCAACCTAAAGAAAATGAAAATCCTTACAACTGGACCAATAAGCAGCAAAACAATAAATGGAGAAAAGAATAAAGTTGTTAAAAAAAAAAAAAAAAGAAGGTGGGGACCAGGTTTGCTGGTCCCATAGGGCCTGGTGGAACCACTGAGACTATGGCCCCTAGCTGCCCTTCAGGTCTGGAATTGAACCTACACCTGTGGTTTCCAGCCAAAGAAAGTACAGGCATGTGAGTTAAACATTTACCTCAAGTAGACACATGCCCTGGAGAGAACAATCATGGGAGAAGGAAGGGCTGCTTATGCACAGGGAGACAGCTCAGGGCGCAGAAGAGTATGGAGGGATGGACACTGGGAAGAGGTAACTATGGGGAGGAAGTGAGAGGGAAGCTGTTGCATTGTAAATTTTGGTCAATGACATGAGACAAAGTATATGTGAACTGCTGTATGAAAAGTGAATTTACTCTGTAAATCTTCACCCAAATCAAAATAAAATTTAAAAAAAAAGAATAAAGTTGTTAAAGATTTCAAAATACTTGGTTCCACAATCAACACCAATGCAAGCAGCAGTCAAGACATCAGATGATGTATTACACTGGGCAAATCTGCTGCAAAAGATCTTTTTCAAGTGATGAAGAGCAAAGATGTCTCTTTGAAGATTAAGGTGTGCCTAACACAAGCCATGATATTTTCAATTCCCTCATATACATGTGAGAGCTGGACAATGAACAAGGAAGACCAAAGAAGAGCTGATGCTTTTGAGTTGGCAAAGAATACTGAAAATACCATGAACTGCCAAAAGAACTAACAAATCTATCCTGGAAAAAGTGCAGCCAGAATGCTCCTTGGAAGAGACTTTGGTTATGTTGTCAGAAGGGACCATTCCTTGGAGGATATCATGCTTGTAAAGCGGAGAGTCAACAAAAAAGGGATGGAGTGCCACTGTGGCTGCAATGATACAATGGGCTCAGATGTGGCAAGGATTGCGAGGGTGGCACAGGACTGAGCAGTGTTTTGTTCTATTGTATACAGGGTCACTATGAGTTGGAGCCGACTTGACGGCACCTAACAACAACAACAAAAAATTGATAGAAATGAAAGGAGAAATGAACAAAAGCACTAATATATTTGGAGACTTCAATACCCATCTTCAGAAACCAATAAATCAAGGAGCAGAAAATTAAGAAGAATATTGATGGGCTGAAAAGCACTATCAATCAACTTGATGTAAATGACATTTATACAGTATTCCATCCAATAGCAGCATATATATGTACACACACACACATTCTCAAGCTCACATGGAATATTCAGCAAAACAGTCCACATTCTGAGCCATAAAACACATCTTAAAAAATTTAAGCCAATAGAAATCATACAAAGCATGCTCTCACTACAATGAAATTAAGCTAGAAATCAATAACTGGAAAATCCTCAAATATCTGAAGCATAAAAAACACATTTCTAAATAACAAACAGGTCAAGAAAGAAGCCTCAAGGGAAACTAAGATGAATCTGAATCTAAATAAGAATGAATATGAAACATATAAAAATTTGTGGGATGCGGAGAAAGCAGTGCTTGGAGGGAAATTTACAGCATTTAACGCATATATTAGAAGAGAAGAAAGAACTAAAATCAATAATCTAAGCTTCCAAGCTAAGAAACTAAACAAAGATTAGCAAATTAAATCTAAAGTAAGCAGAAGGAATGAATAAAAATCAGCACAGAAATCAATGAAACTGAAAATGGGAATTGACAGAGAAAAATCAACTAAATGAAAAGCTAGTTCTTTGAAAAAATCAGTAAAATTGATAAACCTCTCATCAGCCTATGAAAAAAATAAGACACAAATTACTAATATTAGAAAATGAAAGAGTCCTTCATTTTAATGTCCATGGACATTAAAAGGATATTAAAGGAATACTATGAACAACTCTATGCCCTCAAATTTGATATCTCAGATAAAATGGACCAATTTTTGAAAGACACAAGTATTAAAACTCACAGAGGAGAAATAGATAACCTGAATAGCCCTATAATCTATTAAAGGAATTGAATCAATGAGTATTAACCTCCCCCTCCAAAAAACCATCAGGCCCAGAGGATTTCACCAGGGAACTGTACCACACACTTAAGGAAGAAATAATACCAAGTCTTCATAATCTCTTCCAGAAAATGGAATAAGGATAATATTATCCTAACACCAAAACCAAGAAAGAAAACAACAGAACACTATCTCTCATGAACATAGATAAAAAATCCTCAGCAAAATATTAGCATATCAAATCCAACAATGTATAAAAAGAACTATACAACAGAACCAAGAGAGATTTCTTCCAGGTATGTAAATCTGGTTCAATATTTAAAAATCAAGCTATGAAATCCATCATATCAACAGACTAAAGAAATAATTACAGGATCATTATCAATTTATATAGAAAAAAGTAGATGACAAAATCCAATACATATTCATGATAAAAACTTTTAGCTAACTAGAAATAGAAGGGAACCTCCTCAACTTGATAAACAACTACAAAACTTTATAAACTCCTCAACTTGCTAACAATTGCAAACCTACATTTAATACTATGCTTAATGGTAAGAGACTTTTCCCCTAACAATATCACACTGGAAGCTTTAGCTACTGAAAGAAGACAAGAAATAGAAAACGTAGACAGATGGGAAAGGAACATAAAACTAACATCATGTGCAGGCGACATGATTGTCTATGTAGAAAAACAGGCATGGAGCTGGATTTGGCCACCAGCCTTAGTGGTGGCTGCTTGAATGCAATGTTCTTTGTAAGTTATAATGTACCCACTACCTTATTCGTTACATAGTAATTTCTATTCATCTATCTGACCTGAAAAGATAATTTTAAAAGATAAAAGTTAATGGTGATGATGGTGAGAATAATGGTAATGGTATAAATACATATATGCAAGTAAAACTCTATTATTAAATCTTGCCTAAAAACCTGCTATATTTAATATGACTCTGAGCTACTAGTTTAGTCTTTAGGTTAGTTACTTATTTTTCATACCATACTCAGGACATTCTATCTGTAACTAACCTCTCAATAAAGCCGAATATATGACTGTGAAATAAATGGTTTGATAAAATCTTAAAATCATAGATACAGAGACTAAAAAAAAAAAAAAAAAGATTATATCCCAGAGATAACCTAGTTTTGTCATTTTCAGTTATGATCCATGGAACTATGTTTTGTTTAGTTTTTTTTTTAAACTTACCTTAATGGAGGGAAACTGTGGGCTCTGGCTTTATCCTACCTCAAAATGATTACTTCTAACTTCCTGAAACTATTTCTCTGAGATAATCTTTAAACCTTAAACCAAAACTATCCCCTGAAATTTTAAAACCAAGTAATAGTTTAGCTTAATTACTAAAAAATATCTGCCTTGAGCATTATATGCTCTTTTAAGAACTATCTATATGAGATCAAATTGGTGACAGCAACTTTAAAGGTTAGATAGAAACCTTAGGGAGCAGCGAACTTATGTTAAATAGGAGGAATAACTCAAAAAAACAAGGGGAGCTCTGGTAGCATAGTGCCTAAGGCTTGACTGCCTACCAGAAGGCTGGCGGTTCAAACCCACCAGCCACTCCTCGGAAGGAAGGTTGGGCAATCTACTTCTGTAGTGATACCGCCTCGGAAACCCAAGGATGGGTCGCTGTGAGTTGTGTCCAACTCAACGGCACATAACAACAACAACAACTCAAAAAAAAGGAGGATGAGCATGTCTACACAATTCAAAGAATGTAATCAATATCACTAAATGGTATATGTAGATACTGTTGAATTGGCGTATATTTTGAAGGTTGGGCAATCTACTTCCGACGTGATAACACCTCAAAAACCCAAGGAGGGGTTGCTATGAGTCAGATCCAACTCCACGGCATGAGTTTGGTTTTTTGGTTTTATATTCTTAACAATAATTATATATACACATACACATGTACATATACATAGAGAGAGAGAGAGAGACAATAGACACTCTGGGTACAGTGGTTAAGACATTTGGCTGGTAACCAAAAAGTCAGTGGTTCAACCCCACCAACTACTCCATAGAAAAAAGATGAGGCAGTGTGCTTCCGTAAAGATTTACAGCCTTGGAAACCCAATGGCAGTTGCTATGAGTCAATCTGATGGCAGTCAGTATTGTTTTTGTTTTCATTTAAAAAAACAAATACCAAACTCACTGCTATAGAGTCAGCTCTGACTCATAGCAACCTCCTTCAAGTTTCGAAGGTGGTATCTCTATGGAAGTAGATTGCCCAGTCTTCCTTCTATGGAGTGGCTGGTGGAGTTTCCCGACTTAGAACCTTGGTTTCCTGACTACCAAGGCACCCTACCCACACTTCCACCCAGTTTGCTTACATAGCTATAGTTCAGCTTCCTGGAAACTGATGTTTTTCCTGAAGTTTAATTATTACTATTCACATACATAAAAAATAGTCTTAAAAAAATTAAGCTTCTTAATAAGAACTTCATAGTTACTACCTGCAACAGCTATAGCAATTATGTAACAGTTTAAAGATTACTTTATTCTCCTCTTCAACTAAAATACACAGAGAAAAAATGGTACCTTTTCAAGTCCAGGTTTTGAAATCTTTTCAGTACCACTGTTGCTCTCAAGGCAGATTCCTTCATCAACACCATCATCATTGGAGAAGTCATTGCTCATCTGATCACTGTGACAACTGCCTTCATTTTCTGCTCCACTGTCAGTGCAACTTTCAGTCTGAGGAGATTTCTTAATGAAACATTATTCTCTTAAAACTATAAGTCAAATACTGATAAAATACACTGAACAAAATCTTTTTTTGTTAACTTTCCCACATAATTTTAAGAAATTCTTATTAATATTCATTTTAAGTCATTACATTTTCTCTTAAAAATGAGACCATAAGTAAAATTAAACAAACAAAAAATTCAGTGTATTTTATTTAAAAGCATTTCTGTATATCCTTGATATTCTAATACAATAATTAGTGATATGGATTTTTATTAAGCCCCATTTATTTTTATAGTTGCAATGTGAAAATATAAAATTACCATCTTTCAAAATAAAAGAAAAAAAAATGAGCTTCTTTTGCCCTCAAATCCCAAACAAATATATTTTCTTGAACAAAAAAAGTTCAATCCAATCTATCATTGAACTAGGTTTTATAGATATTAGAAAGAAAAATAAGACTTTGATCTGTCCTTAAGAATTTTATATTCTAATGTGGAGAAGATGGAACTGCAATAACAGCAAGTCATACTTTTATGGTTTTTAAATCGCTTCTATGCAATTTTAAGTTGAAGAATTCTATTTCAAAGATATCTCGAAACAACCTTTCCCTCCATTCTTTTAACGCTGTATCTCACACACTGCCATAGACTCAATTCCAACTCATAGTGACCCCCATTGGGTTTCTAAAGCTGTAAATCTTTATGGAAGCAGACTACCTCATCTTTCTTCAGTGTTGCAGGCTGGTGAGTTCAAACAACCAAACTTTTTGTTAGCAACCAAATGCTGCCTTAACCACTCATTACACCACTAGAGCACCTCACTTTAACAGTATATACATATATATATATGAAATTGCTTTTATTTCGTTTGAGAATGCTTTTCTAAAATGCAAGATCTCAATATGTATAAATCATTCCTTGAAAGTTCTTAAATCAACAATATGTAGCAAGTGCCAACTTTTTGCCAAGAACTATGTCACTGTACAGAATATGTCTAAGATATAGTCCTCATCTCTCAAGAAAGTTTTATACAAAGGAATAAGGAGGTGAAAACCAACTTTAGATCTTTACACTAACCCCAAAGATATTTCCTCAAAACTTCTTCAACTAAGCCAGAATATCTATCTTGTTTTCTCCCAAGAACTGGACCTAGAACTTCCTAAACAATACTGTCAAACTTTGTATCTAGGTTTCCTTCCTTTAGAAAAGATTTTTCTTTGTAAGAAATACATTAGGAATATACAGAAGACTGATCTAACACTGATCTCTGTGTAAGAAGATTCTGTGTAAGGATCCTCCAAGGATTTGTCTCCTTTCAAAGTTCAGTATAATTGGAGACGATTTCTTAACTTAAGCGTAAGTGTTTGAGATATTATTTTAGATTAAATTTTTCAAAATGCCACATGATCACAGCTACCATTCAATGAACATCTACTTTGCTAGGCATTCTATTCTATAAAAAGCAAGTAATATCCTTATTTTATAGAAAGGAAAATGAGGCTCAGAAAGGTTAAATGAATTATCTAAAGGAGCCCTGGTGGCACAGTGGTTAAAGAGCTTGGCTGCTATCCAAAAGGTTTGTGGTTCAAACTCACCAGATGCTGTGCAGGAGAAAGATGGGTATTATTTAAAATCAAGTATCTTGTAAGTAGCAGTATAAGATTTTGAACTTATATCTCAATAGACCCAAAACTGTGCTCTGCTCTTCCACATTGTTTTTTGGTATTTAAAGGATTAAGAAAAGTTGATGAAGATTTAAAATTATTTTTGAGCTCCTGGGAAAAAGGCATTTTTATACTTAAGAGTACTTACTTCCAATCACAAAAAATCACTTTATGGTAGTTTTGAGACTAAAGATTTATCACTCTGTAACAGCTATGCTAAATGGTTGTCTATATCCCCCATAATGACATCACAACAGTTTCCAAAAGAAAAGAAATGGGACATTATGGCTCTTTCACTGAATAAGGTTAGCTTCTTAAGATGAGAGCCCGACACCAGTGTCAAACTACCCCAAGTAGATCTTTTAAAAACATGACTAACATGGATTACTTAGAAACATAGTAACAAGATAAAATAAATATTTACCTCATCTTCAACATCAATAAATGTACTCATATCTAGCTCCTCAGGAAAAGTCATCCGATCATTCAATTTAATCCTATGCATAGTCGTATAATCAAAATCAAACCTTTTCAACTGTAGGGTCAGCAGATAAGGAAAATGCAAAAATCGAAGCCCCTAAATAAAAAAAAGATTCTACTGAATACTGAATATTTAGCTCAGAAAATTAAATATCAATTTCTATATGGCATCTACCTTTCGTGCATCACATTTCTTCTTACATCGTTCACAAAAATACTGATTTGGACCATCCAATATCTCCGGCTGAATAAATGCATGCAATGCTTCTTCCTAGTCACAAAAAGAAAAAAAAAAAAAAAAAAAAAAAGATTGCTTTGTTAATGACAAAGCTCTGAATCTAAAAGCAATGCAATTACCTAAATACTACTAAGTAGAATGGCTAGAAATGTAGGAAATTAAAAGGTACCAAGTTGGGGAATAATAGTGAAATATTATTATCACTAGAAGAAATGAGTGAAAAAGTATTTTATTTCATTCTGGATGAGACCTACTTCTACTTAGTAAGAATTATTTTAGAAATGTTGTCTTTCTGCAAATCACAGCCATTTCTACTTAATTTTTATATTTGACTTTATATTCTGATGTTTGGCTAAATAATTTAACAAAAATAAACAGTCTTTATATTAAAAAGTAATTACATCCTTCTTTAAAAAATTACTTACATGTACCACATTTTAAAACTACAGTAAGTATCACTGACCTGAAAAATTCATACACTTAATAATCTAATGATTATCCATAATCACTAAATTGGTCAATCACTAAACTCACCCCCATACTAGTTTACAGACTGAAAAACACTGTGCAACCTTCTCACTGCACGTCAAGATACTATCCCATTTGAAAACGGATAATGAGAGCTCTTAGATTATTCACCTAGTAAAACCATATACTTCTCATTTCTCCATACAGCCTTACAACAGAAGTAAAAAAGTCAGTATGAATACCATTAAAGAATCAACTGGACATGAAATTCACTTTTATTTTACCACTGGCTTTTTTTTAATTTTATTGTGATTTGGGTGAAGATTTACAGAGCAAATTCACTTTCCATACAGCAGTTCATATACACTTTGTCTCATGACATTGACCACAGTTTACCACAATGCAACAGCTCCCCTCCCACCTCCTCCTCACAGTTACCTCTTCCCAGTGACCATCCCTCCATGGGCTCCTGTCCCCTGAGCTGTCTCCCTGTGCATAAGCAGCCCTTCTTTCTCCCATGATTGTTCTCTCCAAGGAGTGTATCTATTTGAGGTAAATGTTCAACTCATATGTCTGTCTTTTGTTTGGCTGGAATCCACAGGTATGGGATCAATTCCAGACCCTAAGGGCAGCTAGGGGCCATAGTCTCCACCAGGCTCTATCAGACCAGCAAGCCTGGTCCCCCCCTTTTTTTCCTCCAATGATTTTGAGTTTTGTTCCACATTGTTCTCCCTCTCTATCAAGGATCTCCTACATAGATCCCCTTTCAAGTGGAGGACAGTGGTAGCCGGGTACCATCTAGTTCTTCTGGTCTCATAGTCATATAGGCTGCAGATCAGATGGTTTACCAGTCGCTAGGACTAATTGTTTCCATGAATTTTGATTTTCTTCATTCTTCTCTGTTCTGGATGAGGAGAGACCCATAGTTGCATCTAGACGACAGCTTGTTAGTTTTTAAGATCCCAGTCGCTACTTGCCAAGGTAGGAGGTGGAACAATGTTTTGTGTAGTATGTTATGCCAATTGAGCTTGATGACCCCTGCTATGGTCCCAAGCCCACAGGTTCAACTACTCGGTCTCTCTGGGTAGCTGGCTGTGACCAAGCAGTAACCACAACCTTGCCCCTTGTCAGCTCTACTATACACCTGGGAATTCTGATCATTCACATAAACTTGTAGGACCACTGTCTGCCAACCCTATATATGTACTTGGATACACTCCCCATTTCATAGACATACCTAATCGTACAGCCTGTGCACCCATGTCTGCCTTCATTGACAATGCAGTACTATATGTATCACTGGATTTTTGCAATTTAAGATAAATTTTAGTTAATATAACACATAAGAGTGAATGTATAATCTCAAATTTCAGCTGCCATCATCATTTTTTTCACACGCATTCTAAGCAGAAATATTAATATTTATTACATGTAAAGAAAAAGAAATGGAATCATTAAGAAAAACAGAATATCTTCAAATATTTTTCTTTTGATAAAGAACAAGTTGTTCTTCATGAGATAAATAAAACGATCTTGATCTGGCCAAATGGACTTAGTTGCAAAATAGCTGTCAAAGCTTATAAAATTACTATCCATGTATTATGATATAGTTTACTTTGGAACAAGAAAAGCCTATAAAAAGATATTCAAAGTCTTCTAAATTCAACCCCTTCTCTATCTTGTTCTCAGGACACAGGAAGCACCAAGGGAGGAGGAGACCAAATAGCTGGCCTTTGTCTTTTCCCTATGACCTAGCATTTTACAGGAGGTCAAGGAAAAGATGCTTAGAAAATATTTTTTTCTCTACAGCATATTGGAACAATGAAAAATGGTAAAAACACAATTGAGAAAAAAAAAAAACACTAAAGGAAGTTAGGTCTAGGCCTGATAGCAAATTAATCAGGCTTATCAATACAGGTAATCTGTACTGGTAAAACACTAAATGCATATTTAAAAAAAAAAAAAAAAAAAACACCTCACTGCTGTCACAGTCGATTCAACTCATAGCAACCTCTCCTGGGGTTTCTGAGGTGGCATCTCTACACAAGTAGATTGCCCAACCTTCCTTCCGAGGAGTGGCTGGTACGTCTGAACCACCAGCCTTCTAGTTAGCAGTCAAATACCTTAGGAATCATGCCATCAGAGCTCCCCCTAACAACATATATATTTTTTAAAAGTAGAGGGAATAAGATAATTATGTAATTTAAATTCTACTTTAAATTTATTTATACTAAAGTATGTGTATTAGTCTCTGCTTAAAATTTCACAACTAGTCCTATCTTGTTTTTGTTTTCTAAATAATATAAAACAGAAGAAAGTTGCAACAGAGAACTCCCATACAATCTTTATTCAGATTCACTAATAAATGTTTTACTTGGTTTGCTTTACATTTCTCTCTCAAACACACACACACAAGATGTATTTTTTCTGAACCATTTGAGAATACCTTCACACATTATACTTTACCTGTAATTTTTAAAGATTAAGAATATTGTTACATAAACAATACAGCTATTAAACTCAGGAAAACTTTTTATTGATAAAGTACTTGTCACTCCATGTTCCAATTCTGTCAATTATCTTAACATTGCCCTTAACAACACTTCTTGCCTTCCAGTACAGAATCCAATCCAGGATGACTGCATTTGGCTGCCTGTTTCTTTCTATTTCTTTTTTAATCTGAAGCAGTTCCTCACCCTTTCTTTCTATCATGACACTTGATTTTTTTTTTTTGAAAATAGAAGCTAGTTATTTTATAGAATGTTCTCATGATTAGATTCAGGTTATGCATTGCTTGTGATACTACGTAAGTAATGACACATCCATCTAAGAGCATCAGAGATGAAGGCCACAATGGCTTTAACCTCGCACGGGTAGTATTAACTCAAATCACCTGGTCAAGATGTGATCAAGATGGTCAAGGTTTCTCCCCTACACAGTTCTTATTTGCAAGGCAGCATCTCCACTGAAGTAGATTGCCCAGTCTTCCTTCCGAGGAACGGTTGGTGAGTTTGAACTGCCAGCGTTCTGGTTAGCAATCAAATGCCTTAGGCATTATGCCACCAGAGTTCCCATAAGAATAGTAACCATATATAAGAATAATAAACCAACTATAGGAAGACACTTGAGGACCATACAAAAATGCTGATATTTACCAAACTTTTTACCTTAGATTTAGCGTTCACTAATTAAGTCCCTGGGAGTTCCGGTAGCGTAATGCCTAAGGCATTGGACTGCTAACCAGAAGGCTGGCAGCTCAAATCCACCAGACATTCTTCGGAAGGAAGATCAGGCAATCTACTTTGGTAGAGATACCACCCTCAGAAACCCAAGGAGGGGTCACTTTGAGCTGGCATTGACTCGAGAGCAGTGAGGTTTTTTTTAAGTCCCTAAGGAGCTCTGATGGTGTAGTACCTAAGGCATTTGACTGCTAACGAAAAGGTCGGTGGTTCAAATCCACGAGAAGACTGGGTGATCTACTTCCATAAAGATTTACCACCTTGGAAACCCAAAGGGGATCACTATGAGTCAGAATTGACTCTATGGCAATGAGTTTTTTTTTAAATGAAGTCCCTAGTGTCACTTCGTGGTACAAATGGTTAACATCCTCAACTGCTAATAGAAAGGTTGGAGGTTTGGGTCCACCCAGAAGCGCCTGGTAATCCACTTCTGAAAACCCTGTGGAATGGAACTTTACTCTGACATACATGGGGTTGCCATGAGTTGGAACTGACTTGACAGCAACTGATTTTAATGGATTCTTCCCTAAACCAAATGTTAACACTGTGTTTTGAGCAACTTGAAAATATTTCTCTTTTAATAGGTAAGTTAAGCCCACTCACATTTATGGATATAACTGATAATGCTTGATCTTATTTGTCATTATTTTGTTTTGTAATTACTGTATGTATTAGGCAATATTTACTGTGTTTTTTCTTTATATTCTCTGTCTTTTTTGGTATTTAGGAAAATTAGCAATCTTACTACCTTAGCAGTTACTTCTGCATTTCAACTTTTTAGTGCTCTTAATCCTCTTTATTCTTTCTTATGCAACCTTTCTGTTTCTGGTCTGCCAGTTTTAAATGGTATTGTCTGTCTCCCACCTATTATCTATACAACAGTCAGTGATCTTATTCTACATTCCCTTGCTCTCTCTTTTCTACCAGTTTTTAAAAGAGTTACGTTCTTTGTACTTTGTCTAATATTTGACATTTCACACTACTCTTCTACCCATGTGATCACCCTTATTTTAGTCTTGCTGCTTTTAAGATCTCTCCTTGACTCTTTCAGCATTTTCACTGTGTGTCCATTTCTGGGTCTCTTCACATTTAACCTAGTTGGAGTTTGTTGTGATTCCTGGATATATAGGTTACTGTTTTTCAGTGTGTCTGGGTAGGTTTTAACCATTATTTCTCAAAAATATTTTTCTTTTCTCTTTCTTCTCCTCCTGATATTCACATTATGCATAAGTTGATTCATTAATGTTGTTCCACATTTCTCTGAGACTGTTCATTTTTCTTCACTTTTTTCCTCTCTCTGCTCTTTGGCTTGTATAATCACCATCA